ATAAATAAATAAATTTATTAAAAAAGAAAAAAATGTTTTAAAATAAGAAACAAAACAAAACAAAAACAGACTCATAGATACAGAGAACAAATAGGTGGTTGCCTGAAAGGAGGGCAGGGTCGGGGGGAGGGTTAGATAAATAAATGAAGGGGATTAAGAGGTACAAACCCCAGTTATATAACGATTAAATCATGGGGAAGTAACATATAGCATAAGGAATATGGTCAATAATATTGTAATAACTTTGTACGGAGACAGATGGTCACTAGACTTATCATGGTAATCATTTCTAATGTATGCAAATGTTAAATCACTATATACAATACCTGAACTAACGTAATATTGTTCATCAACTATATTTCCAAAAAAATGAGATTAAGGTCTGAGAACTATAATTGACCTAGTTATATTGCATAAATTTGCAGGTAACCTAATCAGCATTATTTCATGACATCATCCAGGGATTTTTGGCCACTTGACATGAAGCAGAGAAAGCAGGTAGTGTGAGTCATCCATGCTTGAGATTAATGCCATTGAGGTCAAGAATTATAGATTCAAGATTTTTCCAGTAGTAAATATTTACTCCCATTTTCAAATCACTTCGCAAATTATAGTTCAAAAAATAGGATCACTAGGAAATTTTCTAGGGACTAAATTAAGTAGCAGAGATACAAAAACCAAGATTGGTCTTCACCTTGATAGACATGCTATAGAACCCCTCAAGTAAATCTCTCCTTTGCTTCTTATTCCCACTGCCACCCCAGCTATTACACAAGCTCCCTAACTCTTCTAATTTCCTTTGTTCCCTTACACGTTTCTACCCCCAAATTCTTAAGCTCGTGTAATTTTTCTAAAGTACACCTCCAATTACATGATTACCCTGATTAGAAATCGTCATCTATTATCTATTGAAATAAACTAATAACGAGCCCAGTATTCAACATCACCCAAATTTATTTTCCATTCCTCTTTTCCATGGCTCACCTCTCTATCTGCAGACCTTCCCACTTAGATCTTAGATCAGCTTAGATCACTTAGATACGATCTTCCGTATTTTGAGTTCCTGCTCTCTTTCAAATCCCTCGAGTACTTTGTATGTCTCTGTGGCACTTATTTTACTCTGCTTTCTTCTGTTAAATGAGTCTTATTCTTCCTACTCTCCCCATTACACATTAAAATATTTTAGACCAGAAATTGTATCTTGCTTGTTTTTGTATTCCTATTAGCACAAAGTACATGAGTACATGCTAGGTACCGAAAAACAATAAAATAAAAATAATGCTTAATTGAATGGAGTTCATTAATCAACTTTTTCTTTTATTATTATCTTGCTTCCTAAAGAGACATACCTCATAATTCCTACAGCATCATCTGAGGTAGCTAGCTAAAATAATGTAGCATCTGTACTGTTTGCCCTAAAATTGTGTAAAATTTTTGGTAATTGTTAAATCCTAAAATCTGGCTCATTTATGTCACTTTCCTGAGATGTCATGCATGCGCTAGTATGTATATATCTTCATTAAAAATGCATTTTTTTCAACATGATTCCCAGGTCCATTCTGTCTGTACTTGTACTTAACAATTTATTTGCATAAATTGGGTATTAGTCTTGTTAGTGGTTATTCAGCTTGTCAGCATCCAGGGTAGGGTCACCCCATTCATGGAGTAAGTATAAGTCAAACTGTCTCCACATTGCCAGCATAATGTAAGTAGAGAAATACAATGTGAGTCATCATCACACAGGCATGAGTCATGGGTCAAATAACCTTTCATTAAAGAAAGTAACGGGGGCTTCCCTCGTGGCGCAGTGGTTGAGAGTCCGCCTGCCGATGCAGGGGGTGCGGGTTCGTGCCCTGGTCTGGGAGGATCGCACATGCCGCGTAGCGGCTGGGCCCGTGAGCCATGGCCGCTGAGCCTGCGCGTCCAAAGCCTGTGCTCCGCAACGGGAGAGGCCACAGCGGTGAGAGGCCCACGTACTGGAAAAAATAAAAAATAAAAAAAAAAAAATAATAAAGTAACGGTATACAGTAAAACTGAGCTGAGATGAATATTCCATTTAACCCCATCACCTCTTACCCCATTACACTTTGTGGAAAAGCTCAGTGAAGAGTCTGAAGAGCTCTGGAACTCCCAATGTAGAAAGGCAATAGAATGCAATTAACACCCTGCATTGTTTAAATAGCTTACTTTGCAGGGGGGAAATGTCTAAAAAGGTTTAAATTCGGTATAAAATTCTAGCAACCACAATTTTAATCGCATACCAACTGCAAAATATTTCTCTCATTGTCTAAATAAAAAGAAGGCTATAATACATTCTGTCTGCTTGTTTCAGGGCTCAGTTATTAACCTTTAAGAATCTTTTCTAGGATAAAAGCCTCTTTCTCCAGCAAACACATCCTGAAACTAGGACTTAATCTAAAATCCTAACTCCTGGCACGGACAATCTCGGAACTTCAATCCCTATTATAAAAAATGCTGAACAATATTTCAAACACGAGAATTTTAGCACTTTTCTTTTTTTTTAATTGGCAGCTAAAAAAATAATAATTTTTAGAAGTCACAAAAATGAAATGCTACCTTCTTTTCCAACACACGTTAAAAAAAAAAAAAAAGCACAGTACTCAATCTGATTACTCAACAGCACGTCATCGCAAACGCAAGCGAAAACTGGGTTGCTGTTTCCATAGCAATGACTTTATGTAGTTTAACTCTGCTGGGAATTTAACCAAATCCCCAGCAGCAGGAGAAAATCATCAGCAAAAATTTTGTAACATATGGCAAGTGCCAACAGATCAGTGAGGGGAAAATCAGTTTTATTTTCTCTTCCTTTCTACTCCAAGGAATACCTTTATGTCAAGCTGTTTGAAGAAGCATACAGATATTGTTGGTCACTCTGCACCTAACTCAAAATTTTAAAATACCTGGTTTCTTCCTTCTTAGATTAAAAGAGCTGTTGGCACTCAGCCAGGCTCTGCAGCACGCTCATGCCCAGAATGACATTAGACATGGACAAGAATTCCATGCATCTTCCCATGACTATCAGGTTACTCGTCCTAAAGGAAAACTCAATCCGCAGTGTTATCTCTTGAGAACGAATGCAAATGGAATTTTATTCTCTATTTTGCTTTTGAAGCCATCCTCATCCCGGGGTGCTGTGTGTGTGTGTGCGCACGTGAGTGTATGTGTATTTGTGCATGCATGAAACAAACATTTTAGTTCTACTAATGGCCCAATAATTAAAGCCAGAGTTTTTAGCAGGGAAATAATAGACATGGTCCTCTTCATTATTTTCTTTAGTTCCACCAGGCCTATATCTGGAAGGATCTTCTAAGTATCAAGTTAGAGGCCATCTAGTTCAAGGTACTTAAATTCCCTCTTCAGTATGTCTTCATAAGAGAAAAAATTGTAATCGACATGCAATTAATACCCAGTGAAAATGGTTGTCTCGGAATGAGTAAACACCTTCAATGACGAGGAACACATTACTTTCTAAGGAGCCTATTCAATTTTGAGCAGTTCTCGATGTTAAAAAGAAGTTTCTTATGCTGAACCTAAAATTATCTCCTTTTTTACTTGCACCACGGGCCTCAAAATTTGCATCAATTTCATACTTCCACAGAGGTACAAATTAAGCCCAATATCTTCATATCAAAACACCTCACAAAGCTGAGGCCAGCTTGAGTCTACTGCCTTCCATTCTGTACAGTCCAAAATTGATCTCCCTGCCCCTACCTCACTCACCTCTAAAAGTAGGTTATTTTGGCAATGACTTCATTTACTCCAGTTTTTCTAATTGTAAAGTAGATCATTGGCCTAAATTAGGGGTATCAAACAAAAATGACATCAGAGGCCAGGCAGGTAACTCAACTTATGTTGAGCTGCCTTATGTAAAGCATCTTCACGTAAGGTCACAGGGAGCGGTGACAACGGACACACAGGTCTGTAGTTGTAATTCTTGGCCTAAATTACTCTGGTACCAAATATCAAATTAATAGGGTAACTATGAAAATTTGAGAACATTAAATTCTCAAACATAATTTGAGAATTTGAAACTTTCCCTGATTAGGCTGGGGGAGAGGGGAAAGCTGTCACCTACGTCATCGGGCCACACTGACTGGCGATCATGGGAATTTAGCCAGTCAACTTCCCCTCAATGGTACACTGAAAGAATACAAATCAAACTCGTCATTCTCTCATTTTTAAGTATCTGCTATCAGGTAAACTTGTTTTACACTGGAATGAATAAGGCACAGACCATCAGGAAAGACCCATCATGAAAACTAATCATTTTTTAAAAGTTAGTCTGAATAAAAGACAAGGACCAACAATCATGGAGTATTAAGAAAGCTCACACTCTTCATTTCTATACTCCAATAAACTCTTTCATTTGCTAAGACTTAACATGCTTTTTTTGCAAACACATAAGCTGTGCTCTCCTTCGGTTCTAAAGCCCTCGTGCTGCCCCACAAAGTGCACGTAGACTGTCTGTCTTCCTGTTCACCATGTAGGAAGACCCCCTCAGGAGCTGACCTGCGAGGACCCAGACCTCATCTGTGCTTATAGCCCAGGGAAGGTGGGAGCTCTGCGTATGTTTGGAACCATGGTGGTGATGTCATCTACAAAATGTCGATCTAATCACCACAAGCTCCGGAGCACAGCACATGGGACCAATAAAAACCAAACCAAAACAAAACAAAACAAAACACTCAAGTTTTACCTCAGATTGGCGAAAAAGTATCATTCTTTTCTGAACACACCTCATAGTTGCAAGCATGCGGTTGGTGACACTTACAGCGGGTAATAAACGGTCCTGAAGCTGGAGTTTTCTACATGCGATCTCCTCTCCTCTACAGAAGCAGCCCCTGGACTTGGCCCCACTTGACCGTTTAATTATTGAATCATTCGTGACTTTAAACATTCTTTTTACAATCGACGTTAGCATTCTACATCCACATACAAATATTCATTGTCGAAAAAGAGTAAATCGCTTCTTGGTTTACCTCTACCCGTCATCTCTGATCCAGCCGGCTTGTCTGGGACACAAAGATGATCTGGGTTGCTACTCAGTGAAGAAGCGTCATCACTGGGTAAATAGTTCAACACTCCACTTTCTGATGTGGCGAAGCTGGTTTCCAGGGCCCTGCGACCATTTGCCTCCGAGGGTGCAGGTGAGCGGGCCTGCACAGCGCATGTCACAGACTGTCTGACGTCTTCAGCGGCAGACGAGCTGTCAACCACGTCCATCCAGGGCTGTCTTTCTCTAGATATGAGGGAAGACAAACTGCTGGGTGTCTTTTTTATGTTTTCCATGGAAGAGAAAGAACGCGATGTTTCATTCAATTTGGGTGAAGACGAAGATGCCCGCTGGGCAGCCTGTTTTTCACAAATAAAAGCAAAAGAGAATAAAATAAATCATGATTAAGTCAGCATTCTCTACTTTTCATTTTCAAGGAAGGTACTCCAGCGTTTCAAAGAGTTGCCAATGATAAAAGAATCAAAAGAAAAAGAGATGGTATTTATACCAGTATGACAGACACTATGATCCCATTTTCCAAAACCAATCTGTATAACTTTGAATTCACTACTCTAGGATCTGAAAAATCTCCATGTCATGAATTACCCTACTCTTCAATGCTCTCCAGGTAACTAAAAGACTCCTTTGAGGAATTCATTGGAACACTGAAGGACGCTTTGAGCAAAAAGTAGATTGCAATCTCTCACTGAATTCTTACTAATTGAGCAAAAAATCTTGAGAAAGGTGATTAAGAGAGGGAAAGCAAAAGCTGGAGCCAGACGGGAAGCAAAATAATATTAACTGAGTGGAAGACCAGTGATGTGGGTACAACACATACATTTACACCCTCAAATATTTGTCACAGTTCCTTAGCACATGAGCAGTAAAAGCTCATAACTGCAGAGTTAAGTGAAATAATGTTAACTCATTCACTCTTCAATAATTTTAAAATGTCAATAAACTTTCACCAAAGAAGACGGAAATACATATGCAGTCTCCTAATTCATTAAAGGGAAACCAAAAACTATGAGAAGTGGGTTGATGGTGGGTGTAGGATCTTCTGAAAGCAGCTCCTGACATACAATCCAAGGGTGAATGCCAACCCTTGGCAAAATTTTCACCAGTCCATGGAGAAAACATCAATGCAACATCACCAATGTCCTCTCTGGGGAATGTCCTCTCTTTATTCTGAGATTTTATCCTTGTTACATTTTGATGTTAAAATATATGCCTTCTTTTGGAAAATGGTAATGGTAGCTATTAGCTTTTGTCTTTTGGAGATTTTTTTTAATGTTCTCCATAGCAAAATAAAGATTTGGCAACTATACGTTGTTCCTCCATTTTTAATTTCATTGGTCAATAAAAATCCAAAAAATCTAAACACCAGTGCCCTAGGGGTCACCCTATATCTCCAATGGCAGATAAGACAGAGAAGGCTTTTTCTGGTTCGGTTTCATTATGTCATCCTATGAGATATTCCTGTCAATTTCAAGCATTCAGATCTCCAAGGAAGTGGAGGAACTGGTACAGAGGAGATTGTTAGAGGGAAGAAGCCAAAGAGCAAAGTAGGCTCCTTTCCCCAAAACCTCAGCATCACTGCAACTAACTCGAGATAGTTGACTTTGTTCCAAATTAACATGTGCCCAAGAATTTTGCAGGTTCTAAGCTCTGAGTTCTGATGGAAAAAGTCAATAAGTGTCCGATGAGTGCCTAGCTGGCTGCATGCTAGACATGGATTGTCAAATAAGCAATAAATCCACTTTTTAGTAGCATGACACTAAAACATCTAGTTAAGATACTAACTCATCACACACATCTTCTTAAAAATAATATATTTGGCATGACATGAAAACTTTCTTTTCAGGAATGTGTCAAAAATCTTTCAAACCAGCTGCCTTCAATCACCCAGACCACTTAACTAGGAGATCCAGATCTGTAATTCACTAAATAAAACCCTAGCTACCCAGAGGAGGTAATGCACCCCCTACCAAACTGTCCAAATAAATGCCAAGACTTGTTTACTCGTTAGCAGGATCTACGGAATAAATGTTAACAAAAATACCCATTCAGGCCCAGTCCTGACACAGTTCCCTATTGTGAGCTATTTTAGTAAAACTTGGCTTCAGTGGGATCAGCTTCCTTTTCTGAAAAGAGACCGAACACGAGCTTTTCCTGTTTCTCCTGCTGATACTACTGTAATTTGATTATAGCAAAATGGGCTATTTGTGCAAAAAAGCTGTTGCTGCAGCACTTTCCGTAAGCCTTTTTAAACCTCAAAACTCTGCTTAAAAGACTGAGGAAAGACACATTCAATGAGCATCAGAAATTTCCGGGGAGTGTATATTTGCTTGTGGTACTCCTCAAACACACAGCCAATGCTTCCAGCCCACTTTCTCTAGCACCACGTAGCACGTATAAAGTTGGTTTTCAAACGGAGAAAAGAAGAGCGAGGGGCAGGAAAAGGCATAAGGAAAAGAACCAGAGAGAAGGAAAAACAAAATGAGAAAAGGATGGTGTGTACCAGGTCAGAGGGAGTTTTCGTTAGAAAAGAGATTGACACAAATCAAAGGTTACCTGGAGTGCAGTTACAGAGGATCAATAGGGGAATGTGCTTTATAAACCCTGTGGTTTAATAAAGCTAAATCCTGCCTTATTATTTCTACCATTCTCTAGCCATAAGGCAAACAGAGAACCTTTAGCTCAGTGCCTCTAGGAACCATCCAAGTAACATACCCAGAAAACTCCCCACTGCAAATCACATGAAGGTAGAAAGGAGTGACAGTCTCTCCTCTCCAGCCCACCCCTGCTTGGCTCACACAACCCCATCCTTCAAGGGTCAGTTCAAGGGCCACCTCCTCCAGGAAGCCTTCTCCAGTGGCCTCAGGGCAAGGTAGGTATCTTTTCCCCGTGCTCCTGGGCTTACTTCTATTCTGGGCTTACTTCTATCACACCAGGTAGAGTATCATTTTATTTGTCAACTAATACTGTAATTGCTGATGGATTTGTTCCTCTTTTTCGGTGAGTTACTTGAGAGCAGGCTGCTTTTAATCATTTTTGCATCTCCATTTTTTTGCATTTGTGCCTGACCTTAGTAAATTAATAAATTAATAGCTAGTTGGTAATAAATTAATGCTACAAAGACTGGTCTAGAAAACCAGCTATGTGAAGGCAAACAGCCCAGAGCAGTTCAGTCTCTTACTCAGGAGCACCCTGAAATTCTCTGTAAAGTTGCTATGGATGATTTCTCCTAATCCTCGGATCCAGGGGTGACCACTACTGATGGCAATGCAAATACTCCCACAAAGTATTCTCAGAATCTCAAATAAAATTATATTATTTATTAGACATTAATAATTGTATGTTGTTTCATTTATTTCAGAACATTTGGGCTTCAAATTTTTATTTTTTTAATGAGAAAATGAAAGAAATTTTAAAAATCTTAGTTTTAATGAGGAAAGTATGTACATGATTAAAAAAATCAATATTGCTTTTCTCCATTTTCTGTATAAGAGATTTTTATTCATTGAAGAAGCTTAGTTCAAAAGCTGATTAGCTCTAAAATTCTTTTCTTTGAATTGTCTTTAAAACACAAGTTTAACATGGGGGAAAAAAGAGTTGAAAATGGCCACCAAAAGCCTATAATTAGAAAGGAGTGAGTCAGCATATAAATCTTAAGCAACATTAGTCAAAGTATATGAAAAAATAAAAGAAAATACAAGAATAACTTAAGACTAAACAAAATACAACCAAATGAGAAAAAAAGGAAAGTACACAGCTGTTCTTTCCTTCCATTGGCCATACTAATGGAAACAAACTAACCAATTGCTGTTAAGCCCTAGGAGGTATTGTGTTTATAATTCTACCATATGCTAGTAGAAACATTATTCTAAAACCCCGAAGACTTTGCATGGTACACTGCCCCCTCTGTCACTGGTCTTCTGCATGACCTTGGGCAATGAGCTGCAGACCGTCCATTCCTCACTCCAATCTTTAGTATCCAAGTGGCCTTGGAGAAACCACCTTACTTCCAGGTCCTAGCTTACTGACTTCCCGCCTCTACCATTACCCAACCCCTCCCTACCCCAGTCCATCCACCAAACAATAGCTAGAGCATTTCTAAAGCAGAAAATGCATCATAGTATTGCCCTGCTGAAAATCCTCCAGTAACTGTCCATCATGAGTAGAATATCCATAGTCATCATTATAGCCAAGACACCCCACATGGCCCCCTCCCTACCTCTCCAGCAACATCTCCTTCAACCTCCCCTTCCCTCTCCTTTCCAACCACATGGTCTTCTTTCTGTTCCTTGAGCACATCTCTGGTTCCTTGTGCCTGAAAAGCTCACTCTGTGGATTTGGGGTTGGCTGACTCCTTCCCATCACTTCGGTCTCAAGTCAAATATCACCTCCTTAGCAGGCTCTTCCCTGACGGTCGTAAGCAAAGCAATATCCTCCCCAACCTCAACCCCAGCCACTCCCTAGAACACTGCCCCAGTTAATGCTTTTTCATAGCATTTATCAGTACTCAGACTGTTTGAATTACAAATTATTGTGACTTTTCTTCAACTCAGAACTTAAGATGCTCTAAGGAAGAGACTGTCCAGCTCAGTTCAGCATTCCCTTCTTTGAAAAATACCTGGCATGTGGTTGATACAGGAAAAAAAAAATTGTCAGTGGTTTATCTGCCTGACTTAGATTATCAAAAAGGGCAAATGAGAGAACATAAAAGATATTCGTAATAAAAGGTAAACTTAAGCTTGCAAAGGTTACTTAAAGATAGTTCTATTTACTTCTCTGGCACTTGACTTCATTTGTAAAAGACGGGACTTCTATGAGTCAAATGAAGTCATCCTTCTGAAAGCCAAGTGAAATCACTAGACAAGTGTAAAGTAACTTTCTAATTCACATGGGGGAATATTTGTATAGCTACAGATCTGTGGAGGAAGTGACAATCATCACCCACTCGCCCATTTATCAATCCATTAAATAAATATTTAATTAGGTTCAAATATGTGTTAGACAAGGTCATAGACATTGCTAGTAAAGAAAAAGATATTGGACACTGCCTCTAATCTTAAGAATTTAATAATTAGATAAATAAACCAGATACACAAAATCTATAATTCAAGGCAGAGACTAACACCATGAAAAAAGTATCCCAGAAAATGCACTATAGAAATATAATGAGTTTAGAAGAAGGAAAGATCCTCCTGTCTCAGAGGACCAGGGAAGGTTTAATGAAAGAAGTCACCTTTAAACCAGTCTTGAAAGATACTTAGGAGGCGGAACTGGGGTGAGAGTGAATGGTTCCTGCAAGTGGAGAAACTTTGTAAATATAAGTACAGGAACAGAAACATCTGGAAAGCTTTGAGGAAATAGGGGGCAGTTTATCGGGCTGATGAAAAAGGAGGAATCAGCCACAAGACTGTCATGGCAGTTAGAAGTAAACCCAAGGGCCTGAAATACCAAGCCAATGAATTGAGGATTAATTTGATAAGCAATGAGGATTCACTGAAAGGTCTTTTGTTGTTCAATCAATTTATCAGAACTGCACATTAGGAAGACTAATTTAGAAGTGGTTTTATTAAGAGGAAAGAGAGATTAGAGACAAAAAAAAAAGGCTGCTATTTCAAAATAGCCTGGGCAAGAGCTAGTGCAAACCCCAACTAGGGCAGGGGCAAACAACATGGAGGCCCCGGGAGAGGTTGCAGGACAGCCCCTCTGCCTGTGACTGACGGTCAGAAGATGAACTGTTAAAGCAAGAGTCGAAATGTGAAATCTAATTTTAGAAAAATCTTAAAATCAGTTAAGTGCTCAACCATAGAGCTTAAGAAAATGTTTTGCATCTTGAGGACAGAGGGTGAATTTTTCTTTCTACCTTTTCTTTGTAAGTATATGTACTCACTAACAACTTCTCATCCAACTATCTCACTTGAAAGCATTTCTATTATTTTATCATAGTACACGTATCGAAAGATCATGTCTTTTAGTAAACAACTGGGCAAGAGCCATCCTACTAAGATTAAATTTTAATTTCTAAAATTGATTTTACCCCTTTTTGTGTTTAATCTTTGACCTCTGGCCAATGGGCCAGAGTGCACAGGGATTTTTTTCCCATCCTTTGGATATAAAGGAATTGTACTTCTGAAAAAGCATCAAAATATAAGGACTATCATGTTAAAATAATCTGCATGAGCTGCTTAAAACTGGGATATTTATCTTCTCTCATATCTGATCCACCTGTAGGTCTACCTTCCAACTACGTTCAAAATCCAACCATTCCATTTCTCAACTATGACCTCATCCCAGTCATCACGTTCACTACACTAGATTACTGCACACTCCCCCTTAGAATTCTTTGCTTCTATACTTTCCCCCTATGCCACAGGGTCTCTCCCCACAGCAGCATGAGTGGCCCTTTTATTTATTTTTATTTATTTTTTTTTCTTGCGTTATGCGGGCCTCTCACTGTTGTGGCCTCTCCCATTTGCGGAGCACAGGCTCCGGACGCGCAGGCTCAGCGGCCATGGCTCACGGGCCCAGCCGCTCCGCGGCATGTGGGATCTTCCCGAAACGGGGCACGAACCCGCGTCTCCTGCATCGGCAGGCGGACTCTCAAGCACTGCGCCACCAGGGAAGCCCGTGAGTGGCCCTTTTAAAATGGAGATCAGTCACATCACTCTTCTGCTCAAAACTTCCAAAGGCTAAGGAACTCAAAACATCAAAGTCCTTAATGGTCCACAGGCCCATACATATGGACACAATTATCCTCCAACCTCATTTCCTGCAACTCTCACCTTGGTTCACCCTGTTCCAGCCATACTGTCCTCTTTGCATTGCCATCTATGCACCAAGGAGATCTGGACTCTAACTGCTCCCTTTGCTTGGAAAACACCTTCCCTGAATATCCACCTGGCTGACTCTTACACCACCTTTCAAGAGTTTTGCTCAGATTTCAACTCTCACTCAGGCCTATCCTGGTTCCCCTATTCATTGTCACAAACTGTCCTGACCCCTTCAGCTCCACTTATTCTACTGACCTAGCAGGTAATTTACTTATGTTGATTGTTTATTTTCAGTCTCCCTCAACCAGAAGTTTGGCTACATGAAGAAATGAATCTTTTTTCATTTATTGTTGTGTCCCAAGTACTATTTAGAATAGTAGCTCTCAATAAATATTTGTTAAATGAATGAATAAGCATATAAGCACAGCTCAAGTTATCAGACACTTTTTAAAAATTAAACTTAGGGGGAAAATATTTGTAACAAATTTTTAATGATCTTTGATCTCTTAAATCACTTTATAACATACAAAATTAATGCGTTGGAAATGTAATTGAAGTCAGTTCCTTTTTTTGCTCTTTTGTGAGTTTCAAGGAATCACAGGTAGTGATTTCCACAAAGGACCTTCCAAAGTGAAACCTACAGAGTTCCATCTGTTTTGAGCCTGTGGAAAAACTCTCCATTTTTAATTTCTCTGTAAATAAATGGATGTTCTTTTCACTATCCATCCTGTGGAGCTTTCTCAAGAAGGAAAGACATAAAGAGAAATCTCTTGTTCACTCAAAGGAGACCCTGTAATGTTCTTTATTCTCTGCAGAATGTGGTCCCACCCATTAGAAACAGGTCCAAATTGGTCTAGTGCTGAAGTCTTACTGTTTATCTTTATAGCAAATCAAAATGACTGGACACAGAATTAAAATTTTAGTTCAAGATTTTATAATTTTGAGATAATTTTCCAGAATAGTATGATCTTATACTTTTGAATTCATCATTCCAAAATGAAAGTTCATTACCCAAAAAATTTTTTAAAAGCAAGAACTTGGGAAAGGTTTGGGTGTTTTTGGGTTTTGTTTTGTTTTGTTTTCTTGCCTAGGCTTGTATAGCTCAGTCATGGCTGGCCTATGCCAGATTGAGCCAAAACAATAAGCTGCTTCATGCTCTGGATAAAAGTTACCACGATTTTTAAAATTTCATCTGTTTAGATAAAAAGCTTAAATGTTATTTTAACCAAGTGTCTGGCATGTCTGCTCTTCAGAAACAAGAGAAAACAAAAACAAAATCTGCCTGGGAAATACGTGAGTGGGAACAACATACTCTGTTTCTAAGGAAAATAAAATCTAACTGTTCAACATTTATCTATTTCTAATACATTTCTTCAGAAAAAATAATGTTAGCCTTAGTGGTCTTCAAAAAAATGCTTAACTTCTTAGAACTTGAAGGAATAACATTTGATTGACGTTTAGAATGACATTCTAAAGAATGCTCCCACTTCAATGACCTAACCTACTGGTCTCACATCCATCCCTTCATTTATTTGTTTTGAAACAAGCATTCTCTGGGCTCCTACTCTAACATTATGTTATCATTGTATAATGCAATTGTGCCATGATCCTTCATCTAAGAAGACAACTTTGTTGCTTTTACTTTCATCCAGTGGAGGTCTAGATGCTTGACAATGCTCTTTGTAATCTGTGATATAGTTTGCCATTATAAAACTGAAAATCACAGTATTTTAGAACAAAACTAAATCATATAAGAGACAGACAAAAATGGAGAGACACAGAGAAACAGAGATGAAGGCAAAAAGAAACTAAACAGAAACACAGGCTTCTCTATTAAACCAGCGAGGCACATCTATTTCATTTTTTCCAAATGCAGAAACTGATTTTAAAAGAGGAGATAGACCACTCCAAGGGAAAACTATATTAAGAGAGGCTATATTGTAGATCTAGTTCAAAAATTGGTCGACGTTTTCCCAAAGTTTAATTTTATTTATGTCTTGCTTAACTTTGGCTAATCCTATTTAATAGATTTTTAATAAATATTCATTCAATAAATATTTATTTCTGGTCTCAGCTGCTAGCCAAATGAATTAGAAAAGTGACCACAATTCCCCACTGGCAGCAGATAAAAACGGTAGAAGTCATTATTTAAATGATATTAACACCTTAAACCCAGGAACTGGCAAATAAAGATTGAAAACCTTATCACACAAAACAGAAAATTCTGGCAGAAGAGGTCTGGTAAGTGAAGGAGTTGCAGTAACCTATTAGAATTTATAGTTATTCGGGTCCATGGATGAACGAGTGTCGTAGTAGAATGGAAAGAGCATATGCTATAAAGCTAGACAGACTGGGGTTCCCATCTCAGGTACTCCATTTACTGGGGGTATGACTAGGCCATTCTACCTCTCTGAACCTCTGTTTCCTAATCCATGAAATGAGATAGTAATATCTATGTCCTCATGACCTGGGAATAGGAAACAATACGTAAGCCAGAAACAAAGACACCAACCACAACGGAAGTGATGGATAAACCTGACACACAGAAATCAAGAGCATCTGTCAACCAGAAGAAACAGAGTTTAAAAAATATAAAAGCCATAGACTGGGAAAGAAGATCTGCCTCATTTTTAACTGACAAAGGACTAATGTAAAGATTAATAAAGAAATCCTATAAATCCAAAATAGTAGTTGTAAGACAGCTAAAAATGTACAAAAGACTTGAGACGCTTAACAGAACAGAAAATCCAAATATCAAAAAAAACATGAAAAGATGCTTGACCTCATTAGTAATCAGGGAAATGCAGATTAAATAGTACTGCATTTCAGGGTTATCTGAGGGAAGTAAATGATTATATATTTAAAGTACCTATATAAGTGCTGGTATATGGTAGGTATAGAAGCCATAAATCAACCTCGCCAAAGATCTTTGCTTGACTCCTTCTACTATGCCATCGTTATAACGCCCATGAACATCCAAATATAAAGCAACTCTCCATAGTCTTAATGCCCATTAATAACCTGAACGTACACTGGCTGCTTCCAAAGCTTAGACTCAAACTTGGACTTCTCGCTAGTAAATGTACTGAATCATTCCATACCCAGATTTAATGCACTAACCCCACTCCTGGCTTCCTGCTCTCTTTCGGCTTCTAATTTTCTCTTCATGTTATTGCCTTCATCCCCTTTACATTCATTTTACATCGTTAGAGTGCACGCACCTAGGCAAGGTATTTTCAATTCTTTCTGAGAACAAATAGGATATAAATAAACATTATAAAACAAATCTTTGCAAGCACTGGCCTATTACCTAGAAGTCCTTTGCATTACCATGAACCCTCTGAGCATAATACGTCTGTGGGTCACACCCAAATGTACCGAATTTGTCACATAAATGGGTTGCTATGGAGAAGGCTCAAAATCAGCACCCTGAGAACTGCACTTGCTCTTTGGCAAGTACGTTAGCTTAGCGTCCTCTAAAAATGTATTAGTCAAGGTAGTTTCTACCCAACTGGAAGGAACGACATCCACGCATTTGATCGATGACCAACAGACCAATTACGACGGTACGTACCAAAGGAGAGAGAGTCTCCGCAGAGTAATGAGGGGGTCGTGTCTCGACAGCTATTTCGGGATCTTCCTGTTCACTCTCACTGTAGCATTCTATAACGAAAAGGAAAACGCTGAATGTCTCGGCACTGTCATCACTTATTCCATAATGCATGAGCAGAGGTCCTTCTCCATCTGGCTATTGCATTTCCAACCCAATTCAGAAAGCACTTATCTAGTGAGCTACCTGACACATAAGACTTTCCCTCTGTGAGCGTTTCTGCCCTCAAAGAGTGTCCAATAAGCAGAAAGATGACTAACCATAGCTCAGGGAAAATGAAACTAATTCCTCAAAAGAGGTGTGAGTCATACACCAAGGGAGCATAAGATCAGTAGTGATTAATTTTGAGCATAGGAATCTTCATGAGCTGAAAATGGCAGGATAAGTAGTGCACACAGAGTAATGGGAGTACCAGGCTGAGGACGCAGACTGAGCCAAGTATTCAGAGTTCCCTACGGGACAGGGTGGAAAACAAAGCTGCAAGGTTGCTTGAGGCCATATCATAGAAGGCCTTACATACCAGGAAAAGAAGGGTTTTGTATAGTTACTTTTTGCTCACAATCTATAAATATACTTCAAATATATAATGGGTGTTTATTTTATCGAAAAGAAGACCAAGGAGATGATTAGGACACTGGTTTCACAGTATTGCATTACATTTCTTTATTGCTTTAAATCAAGTTGCCACTTCTTCATTTCTAAATTTAAGATTTTATGATTTTGTTCTCCAAAGATATAACTCCCTACTTCCAATTTCCAAGTTTTATGTGGTCTGAGCATTTCAGAAATAGTGTCAGCTCTGTGACCCTGGCACCTAAATCCTCTTTCTTCTCAATATTAAGGAGTAACTTCATCATTAAGAAGAATTAGACTCTTGTAGCTTTTGAACCCTGAAAGCTACAGACTGAGCTAAAAATACGGCCTCTGTCCCAATCTGACATTCAGGCTCCTGGTACAAACTTAGGGTAATTAGTCCCAGCACACACCTGGTGGAAATACTAAAATATCAGAGAGGAAACAGTGGGCTGAAAGTTATCTGTCTCGAACATGACGAGATCATGTCTATGAGTAAGAATTCAGTAAGTGGGGCAATAAAACATTTGCATTGGCAATTGGTTGAGATCTCAGTGAAGCCTACAGCTGCTAATGTGTGGGTGAAGTGTGAAAAGCGTTCTTAGCCAGCATGGGAAGCTCTATTCCATGTTGGTGAGCCTGTGTGTCTATGTCTGTCTATACATATTTTCAGATAATTTTAAATAACAAAGTATGGTTCATTAGAACAAGACTATACATAGAACTTGACATTGTATTTTCACCCTATTCTAATATTCTTGCTAAATTTTCAGAAATTGAAAAGAGAACATACCTTCATCCTTTGTAGTGGATTCAAGATGGATTATAGCTGATCCAAATTTGTTTAACCACCTAAAATTCAAATAGAAAATAAATGTGTGACCAGAGACACTGGTTCCCAACATATTCACCTTTACGCTAGACCCTAAAGGAAGGTCTTGTACCAGACTTTATAATAAAATTAAGTCACAGTGCTATGGTCAGTCTAAACATTTCTAGAAACAGCCTCAGTTTGTGGTATGGAAACCTAAGACCTCTGGTTTCACAATACTGTCCGTACTTAGGGCATTGATAAGAAATGAGGTGGCCCATTATACAGCTAGTTAAAGGGTAACTACATTAGATATTCTAAATATATGAACAAATATACGTTTTGTAATTGTGTATTTGAAATTCTTGTCAACCATCAAAAGGAATTTCTTAACTTGACCTTTAAAGTTCTATCTCTTTAATTCTTAAAATGTAAGCTTATTTCACACACACACACAAAATGAAGATGACCTATTTTTAAACCACAATCTTTATATCAATCAGTAAAAAGATCTGGCCAGAGCTTCACAGTTATTCCTAAGCTGGGGAAATTTTCAATTTCTTGAAAAATTTTATGTAAGGTAAAATCTGACAATGTCTCATCTTCCATTGATTTACCATTTTATTGGCAATGAATTTCAACTACCCATCAATAATGAAAAAAGAACTAGATAAACCTTAAGGAACACAAACTTGGCTTATGACTTCAGGCCACTGTAGTTCCTTTTCAAGGGTTCAATTAGAAACTTATTTTAATACACAAAAGACACAAAATGTATCTATTTCACATGTTCCTAGCTATATAACCTTCTATTTAAAGGGAAAATATCACTTTGGGATAGCGATAATCTAAGTGATTTACTTCCCACTTCTTTCCAGTTTTCTTTATTTTTAAAAAATATCCCATAATGTGTACTCATCTGTTTTTGAAACATAAGTAGCCTAAGTCAATCGATATCAACAAAATGATAATAATAATGCTATGCATTTATTGATTCACCTATACATTTTATTTTTTCTAGTCCTGTAATTCCTGGTAAATTACCCAGCTACACCCCTACCATAGCACAAATATTGCACATTCCCAAGTCTGCAACTGTCAACAAATTAGGAACCCTTACCTAACCCTCATCCTGCCATGGTCTTGCTGTATTGATTATTTTTTAACAGGAAATATGTAATAAATTTTATTTTAAAAAATAAAATAGAACTGCCTACAAGACAGAAGATGAGCTCCAGCCTCATTTAGAAAGTCCCCTTTTGCACCATGATAAACATGAGTCTCTCGTGGCCACTTAAAACTGGACCAATACCTGGGCCCAGATCATGCCATAGGAACTGAAAAATGCTCATCAAGAGTCAGTAGAAAAATAAACAAAACTAAGAAACAGAAAATGACCAAAAAAGTACAAATGGCTAATAAATATATGGAAAAATTCTCAGGCTCAGTAGTATTTTGGGAAATGCACAGGAAAATATTTTTCACCACTAGATTGGCAAAAATTTTAAATATCGCTGATTTCTATTAGATTTTAGGAAAAACATTCTCATCCTTTGCTGAATTGACCATGAAAAACTGGAACAGCCAATATTAAGCAGGTAATTTGATGATACTACTCAAAACATAAATTTTCATCCCCTTCGCCCAATAATCCTAATTATAAATATCTATCCTACAAAACACACCTTCATGTACATAAATAAATGTGGAAAAATATTAATTCAGTAAGGCTTGCAAAGGCAAAAAGAAAAAACTGATACAATATAATTGTCCATTAACAGGAAAACGGATAAAGTATGGTACCAATTCCAAAAGTACCATGTTAAGAAGCTAATAAAAAGACTGAGATGGGATGGGGGGCCTTGTAATAACCTGGAAAAATCCTAACATACTATTAAGTGAAAAAAGCAAGTACAAAACAAAGTGTTTATCCTGATTCAATGTGCTTCTAAAATTATATATTTGCATATGTATTATACAAGACTTGGTATGCAAAGAAAAGCCTCAGAAAGGACAGTCATATTGTGAAAAGTGGCTTTAACTTAGGGAAAGAAGTAGAATGGGAAGGTAAAGTTGGGGGAATGGGAAGGTTTTCACTTTACATACTTCTGTATTACATGATTCTTTACAAGAATATGTTTTATGCATTACCGAACTAAAAGAAACACTTAAAAGTACATTTTTAAAAAACTGATCAGGCAAAGCACAATGAATTTAATGGCTCACTAATTCCTAGTTTATTCCTGATTTCCTAATTGTATAAGCTGACCCTGCCTGCAAAACAATCATCTCAAAGTGAAATAGACAAACTTCTTTTTTTTAACATAACAAGACCAAAAAATAGATGAATTGGGAATGCCTGAAATAAGAAAAGACGTTTCTAAGTTCCTTTCCAGATATAGTAGAAGAGTATTGAACAGTAAAGCAGATTCCTCTCAGCCCTCACCCAAAACTCATATACCTTTAATTGCCACCATCAGTTACCTGCTGGGAAAAACTAGTGATTGTTCAGAATCTTGTTTGTTTTCTTTCTAGAACCCTCGGGGTTGGAGTACCTGCTTTGCTAAGCACTTTCTTTTAAAAAACATCCAGGCAGTAGCAAACTTTCTATTTGTGTCTAAATAGATGGATGCACAAAAAGACATATTTACATAAAAGAAGATGACAGATGTTTCCTGGGAGTTTGTTGTATGTTAACTGGATGAGAATGTGTGTTAAAGAAGCACAAGTGTTAAGAAACTGATGCACAAAACGACATTTTTCCCACAAACACCATCTGAGAAAGGCAGCTACCACCAGTCTTTGTTTAGAAACCAACCCTTTCATTACCTTTAATTACTCACCCCTATACTTGTAAACTGAGGGTCCCTGCAGAACACACAGTGCTTCTATTAAACTTAACTACCTTTTCCTTCATCATCACTGAGAGTTTCCCAAGGAGGCGAAGTTCTGAAACAGGATCCATCTCTCCAGATACCACTCCCTCCTTCCCTAGCACCTCTGCATCTCACTAAGAAATACCCAGATGCACTCTGTCCTAGCTTACAGACCTCATCAATAAGAAAGGAAGCTCTTCAGGGGCTACTGCGGAACAAAGCTTTAGGGCTTCCCTGGTGGCACAGCGGTTGAGAATCTGCCTGCCAATGCAGGGGACACGGGTTCGAGCCCTAGTCTGGGAGAATCCCACATGCCGCAGAGCAACTGGGCCCGTGAGCCACAACTGCTGAGCCTGCGCGACTGGAGCCCGTGCTCCGCAACAAGAGAGGCCGCGATAGTGAGAGGCCCGCGCACCGCGATGAAGAGTGGCCCCGGCTTGCCGCAACTAGAGAAAGCCCTCGCACAGAAACGAAGACCCGACACAGCCAAAAATTAAAATTAAGTAATTAATTAAAAAAAGAAAGCTTTAAACCCGCCCCCGCCCCCCACTGCCTACTCTTACGGGAGAAGCAAGAAGTTAACTTTCGGGATTCCGCATTGCTGGCTATTAGAAAAACCATCTTCAGAATAATAAAGCTTAATAACGACATTATCAATGAAAAATTATGATACATTAATTGTGATACATTCAGGCACAGACAAAATGGGCCATTTATTTATGAGCAGCCAGACGGACAATTTTTGAGTATAAAGGTCACTGAGAGATTCAAATATATGGGTCATGACACCTCACATTCAAATTTCAATTTTACATCTTGTTTGTAAGCTGGAAAAATAAACAAATACTAAAATAATTTCAAGTCAAATTAACAGATCTTCACAGCATAGATAGGCCATGAGATCCTGGCTTTTATAACTATAAGAGTCTTTGGTTTAACAGTCAAATAGGCAGAGTGTGTAGCTAATACTCATGCAACTGTACTTGCCATTAGATAGAGCTCTGCAAAGGGAGTATGTTGAAAAGTGAAGATAAACGGCCCAGAAATGTAAATAAAAACTAGAGGACTGGGTGGGCAGGGAGCTAAATATCTGATGTGTGATTTAGAAAGCACATCTGCCTGAAATAGAGCTGACTCAGATAATCTTGTAAGGGTCTCACACTTTTACCGGCTTAAAATGTGTTTCACTGTGTAGGTAGAAAAATTCTCTCGGTAACAAAACCCTTCACAGTCATTGTTTTTCTGGTAAATTCAGTCTTACTCTGCCCTTGTTGGAGAGAACAGAACGACTTTGAAAGAACCAGTCACAGGATGAATGGGAAGGATGTGGACCGGAAGAAAGTTGGAGATAGAAGAAGCTGTTTGGGAGAAGCCAGGCACCAAGGGAGCCTATGGGGGTGGGGAGAGGTTGCTGACGGGCAGCCCTGTTTCACCACCATTAAAGCTTAGAAAGGACCACTTGGGATTGATGGATGGCTCGGCTCCGGACTGACGCTCACTACTCTATGATTCCAAGGACCGCTGGGCAAGACATTAAGCTTTCCACGCACCTAGACCTTGCTAGTCAATAGGATTTAGCGTTACCAACGCAAATAAAAAGAGAAATAAAGAGCTTTGAATGTGAAGTTTTTATCTCCTCCTTTTGTGTATCTGCTCTTATTTTTCTCAGATGCTTGAGAAAGCTGGGGAGGGGGGGGAAGTTAAAAGTCAAAAGGAGGATAGAAACAACTTCTTTCCTTGTCCAAGTAAATTAAAGACTTGTTTGGAAGACGCCGTTGTCAGTACCTTGCTTTGTCATTTCTAACGCAGGGTTCTCTAACTTTCTCTGGTAAAGAGCAATTCCGCCCTCATCTAAAGGTTTGTGGTGGCGAGATAAACGCAGGGAACAGATGAGAATGCTTCTAGGGAGAAAAGGCTTCCCTGGGGATATGGTGTAAGGCATTTTGTGTGTGTGTGTGTGTGTGTGTGTGTGTGTGTGTGTGTGTGTGTACTCCTGCTCATACATGTTTAGTAAAAAGCAGCTATTTTTTCCTTTACATTTCTAAAGCAAGAGGCCAAAGAGAAATTACAGAGAACAGAGAGATAAGAAAATCATTATGTCTAAATAAATTAATATTAGGGGTGGGATAAGGAGGATGGGACGGAGGCTCAAGAGGGAGGGGATATGGGGACACGTGTGTGCATATGGCTGATTCGCTTTGCTGTACAACAGACACTAACACGGTATTGTGAAGCAATTATACTCCAATAAAGATCTATTAAAAGATAAACAGATTAATTAATTAATAGATATAAATATATAATTAAATATAAAAATATAAATAGATTAAAATAGATTCAACGATAAGCTCTGTGAATGGAGGGATTATGTCTATATTTTTCATGTCTAGTGCCTGGGATCTGCTGCAAGGAAGCACATAATAGTTATTCCATACATATATTTTTTTTCATACATATATTTTTAATTAATTAAGTGAAAGTAATAAGAAACACTGAATTCTGAGACTAGGACTTAAATTAAATAGAATGCCCTCTGATGCCTCAAGCACCTTAAATATATAGAGCCTCATCCAAATAACAGCCACTGCGATCACACTGTAATCTAAACCAGCAGGGGATATCGCAAGACGAGTAATACTCTACCAGTATATTCCACTTACTTAAACTGAGCAAACAGGAAATGGAGTTAGGGATATATGTTTATATTAGAGGTACCCTAAACAAAGATGTTTTGCAAAATTTGGGGATAGAACATGGAGAGATGATAACCATGAATCATCATGATAATCACACAGCACCTATGAAATGCTGCAGAGATATTTTTTGTGTAGAATTCTGAAAGCTGTGAGATCAGTTACACAATTCTTTCAAGCCTTTCTCCCTGTGATGCTGATTCTCATATTAACATTTTCTTATAATGTCTTCTATTCCTTTCTCAACTTAGTGGTTCCCTCAGAAGAATCTTATTACTTCTTCCTAAAATAGCCATTTTGATCTGTGTAGTTCTCCAAAATGCTTCTAAATACTAGAAAAGAAAGCAAGAAGACTTTATAACTGCTAAGTAGATTAATCCTTAAAGCAGCAGAAATAAAAAAATAATCATTGATATGCACATGTGCTTAAAATTCAGACACCTGACCAAAGTAATCTATTCCCATAAAGATTGGATTTAGTGATGTTTCTCTACTTACAGGTTCATTTCCTGCACATTCTCAGCTGCGAAATAAAAGGTCTTGATCTGTGGATGGCTGATCTTAAAAGCACTTGAAGGGGGAAAAGCATAGACACATAAGAAATTAGAAGTTAGTGTCAACAATGTAGTCGAAAGTAAAACAGTCAAATATAAGTATGGTAAGTTCATCTGCTTTCTTTGTTAGTTTACAAAAACAAAAGTCTTAGTTACATTAAATACCTATTGTCTAACCTCTATTTTATGTAGAGAGCAGAGGGGTAATTCATCATGTCAGGACATCCAGACCAGGACTGAGTCGTGGCTGATCAATAGTTTCTATTTAAAACATATGGATATATTCTTTTATTTTCATTTGCTGTTTTGCTATAAATAGACAATAAATTAAAATATAAACTGATAGATATATCACTTCAAAATACTCAGATCAATTCCTTCAAGCAAAGTATTCATTCAACTTCAATCAAGCATATACAATAATTGTATTTACAGAAAAACCATCAAGTATAAAACTTCTACACTGTGAAAACACATCAAAAACTTTATCCAAGCTATTCTCTATTAGTAAAGGAAAAATATAAGGCAGATTTTTTTTTTTTTTTTTTTTTGCAGTATGCGGGCCTCTCACTGTTGTGGCCTCTCCCTTTGCGGAGCACAGGATCCGGACGCACAGACTCAGCGGCCATGGCTCACGGGCCCAGCCGCTCCGCGGCATGTAGGTATCTTCCCAGACCGGGGCACGAACCCGTGTCCCCTGCATCGGCAGGCGGACTCTCAACCACTGCGCCACCAGGGAAGCCCCCAGATTTTTCATTTAAAAGAAAAGTATAGAACATTGAAGGTAACAAAGTATTTCCCTTTTACCATTTAGACAGGAAGTCCTGCTGTATGGGCCAGAGTTTTTGTAAATGACCAGTGTGGTCAAAACCACAACCTCGTGTATCACTAAAGACAGGAAGCTATATCAGAATGGCAAAGACCTAAAGCCAACACCAGTTTATTCATTAAAAATAAACTAATCAATTGCTGCCACTAGGAACACAGGTCAATAGGGAACTGCCCCACTCTAATAAAACAGGAAAAGATATCAAAAGCAGAATAAAGAATAAGTAAAAGGTGAAGAGGACACATATGCAAAATGCAGCAGGATCCTATCATGGGAAGAGCACTTAACTGGGAGTCTGGATAGCTGGTCTAGAGTCATGGGCTGGTGACTCTTGGTTCCTGTCCGCTCTCAAATCTTTTGGACTTCAGTTATATCAGGGGGTTAATCCCCAAGTCTAAGACATCTCAGAGAATTCAATTGCAAGGATGTTACTGACAATTTCATGAACTAAGAAAAAGAAACTGGTTTTGTATCATATCTGCAGCTCTGGTGACTCCTATGTAGTCATTCTCTTTACAAGGACACAGCCTTGACATCTCATCACCCTGCCAGTCCTGGATGGCAGCTTGCTTTTCATTGGATCACAGACACCATCATTAACAGCACGCCCTGCCAGGGCTCCGTGGGGTTTTAAAATCCATCTGCTCCACAAAATGAAATTCCAGAAAACAAGAGGTTAAAAGCTTCTATTATGGTTTGGGGTTCCAACCCATAAAGTCAAAATTCTCAGACATTTGAATGTCACCATCATTAACTTCCAAATCACCTTATCACCTGAGGAACATTATAAAGAGATGTTATCCTGGCTCCATATTTTGTGGAAAATGATAGACAACTTACTGCTTTTTCTTGCATTCAGATGCTCTCTCTACAGTGAAATCAGGCAGGTTGATAAATCCATCAGCTTTCTCTGCCTGAAACAAATACATACATAAATATGAATAAAGGTGCCCATCTTAGCAGTTCACTTATTGAGATCATATATGTTGAACAGAGATAGAGTAAGTGAAATGGAGGTGTGTCAAAAGATACCCCTCTGGGCTTCCCTGGTGGCGCAGTGGTTGAGAGTCCGCCTGCCGATGCAGGGGGCGTGGGTTCGTGCCCCGGTCCGGGAAGATCCCACATGCCGCGGAGCGGCTGGGCCCGTGAGCCATGGCCGCTGAGCCTGCGCGTCCGGAGCCTGTGCTTCGCAACGGGAGAGGCCACAGCAGTGAGAGGCCCACGTTCCACGAAAAAAATAAAAAAAGATACCCCTCTGAATCAGCATTGGACTTATCCTAGATACATATTTTTAAGAGGAATTAATATTCTTCTGCTAAATCATCCAGAATCTTTCCCTGAGAAATAACATGGCACAGTTTAGGGACAGCCAATGTGTGGCACAAGTAGGAGCTGCCCGACCCCTTTTTGTCTTCCTAGAAAGCATCAGAGCTCACCTATCAGAGCTCCACTTCCTGCTATCCTCAGCATCTTTCTCATCCTACTTCTCTCACAAGCCATAAGCACATGAGAAGGAACCTAATTAGCACGCTATTATATGGTGAGCAGAGGCCTGACTTCGGAGTTAGTAAATTGAGGTTCATACCATGGATCTACCACCTACTGGTTGTAATAGGACTTAAGTGAGCTCAGACAAATAAAACACTTAACAGATACTGAACAAACATTTTTTTCCTCTCCCAAGTCTTTAGGAAGTTCCTTGGGGGTTAAATCACAAAGCCATGTCTTGGAAAATCTCAGTTCCATAATCAATTCCCAGGAGTTTATTCTATAAAGAAATGACAGCAGAGGAAAATGACACTTTTAAGGATGTAGAATGAATGATGACTTTAAAACACACCAAGAATTTTTTTTTTTTTTTTTTTTTTTTTTTTTCGGGCCTCTCACTGTTGTGGCCTCTCCCGTTGTGGAGCACAGGCTCCGGACGCGCAGGCTCAGCGGCCATGGCTCACGGGCCCAGCCACTCCGCGGCATGTGGGATCTTCCCGGACTGGAGTGTGAACCCGTGTCCCCTGCATCGGCTGGCAGACTCTCAACCACTGCGCCACCAGGGAAGCCCTAAAACACCAAGAATTTTATAGGAAATGTAATCATTGTTCCACCTCTAAAAATGTCTTAATCATTACTTTATGAATAAAATTTAACTGAACCATAGGAGGCTAGATTGCTTATCATAGACAGAACTCAAATCTTCCATCTACACTGGTGTCTCTGAATGGAGAATTACAATCCACAAAATTAAACATAAAAGAGTCAGTTATTGGGAGATGAGTAAAAATTGGTTTTGAAAATACAATCTTAAATTTTAGAGTCAGCTAGCTATGAAATCAGCACCATGGGTGCTCTTCATCTGTTTCTTTCCCTTATCACCAAAAGGGTGCAACTTGCACTCTTTCTTCAGAAATATTAAACTGTGAAACTTCCAACCTTAGCCCTGTCCTGTCTTCTCTCTCCTACATGAGTCAACTTAGCCAAACTTCACCTGAAGTGCTTTCTTCTTATGAAACTCAAAACTCAATTCAAAAGGGCACTTCCTTCTTTAAAAATTGTACGTGTTTTTTTCACTCAACTTACCTCTCTTTTGATGTGTTATTTAATTACTGAATGGTGGTTTCACCAATCCTATCTCAAAGAGAATGTAAAGAACTTGAAAAGAGACTGGGTACGTCAACTTTTTCTACAATGCACAATGCTTCTTGTGAACTCGCAGTTAGCATTATATAAAAGTATAGTGTTTAGGGCTTCCCTGGTGGTACAGTGGTTGGGAGTCCACCTGCTGATGCAGGGGACACGGGTTCGTTCCCCGGTCCGGGAGGATCCCACATTCTGCGGAGCGGCTGGGCCCGTGAGCCATGGCCGCTGAGCCTACGTTCCGCAACAGGAGAGGCCACAACAGTGAGAGGCCCATGTACTGCAAAAAAAAAAAAAAAGTATAGTGTTTAAAATTTATTTTATTGAAGTATGGTTGATTTACAATGTTGTGTTGATTTTCTGCTGTACAGCAAAGTGATTCAGTTATACATATATATTGATACACTCTTTTTCACATGCTTTTCCATTATTATCACAGGATATTGGATATAGTTCCCTGTGCTATACAGTAGGATCTTGTTGTTTATCCATTCTATAGATAATAGTTTGCATCTGCCAATCCCAAACTCCCAAGCCATCCCTCCCCCATCCACACTAAAAGTATAGTTTTAAAAAACGATGTTAGGCTCCAGCAATTTCTCTTTTAGATATACACTCAAAAGAAGCAAAAACAGGTACTCAAATAAATCCATGTACATGCATGTTCATAGCAGTATTATTCACAATAGTCAAAAGGTGGAAACAGTCCAAGTGCCCGTCAACAGAGGAACAGATAAATAAATGGTGGTCTACCCATACAATGGAGTGTTACTCAGCCACAAAAAGAAATGAAGTGCTGATACATACTGTAATGTGGAGGAACCTCGAGAACATTATGCAAAGGGAAAGAAGCTAGACACAAAACGTCACATGTTGCATGTTTCATTTACATGAGATATCCAGAATAGGTAAATTTATAGAGACAGAACACAGATTGGTGGTTGCCAGGGGCTGGGGTGGGGGTAGGGAATAGGGAGCAACTGCTTAAAGGGTATGGGTTTTCCTTCGGGTTGATGAAAATGCTTTGGAACTAGACAGAGATAGTGGTTGCACAATACTGTGAGTATACTAAATACCACTGAATTGTTCATTAAAGAATGGATAATCTCATGTAAATTTCACCTTGATTAAAAAAACCCTATGATAGGTTAGGGGATTTTAATGTCAATTCCTGTAATTATTTTGGAAAGAATAAAACGATTTATATTCACCATTTGTTTCTACTTCCTCCCCTCATTCATTTCTATGCCCACAATTCCACAGAAGGGGTAGTTACCATGAACCCCAGTGATTTTCATGTTGCTAAATCCCATTACCCTCTTTAGCCCTCATTTAATTGAAGTCTAGGAACGGACACTACAGCCCACTTCCTACCTCTTGACACGCCTCTTGACAACACATTCCTG